ATTGGCCACACAATTAACTTGTCAGCCAAGGCGCTCTTATTTGGCAAAAAAGCCGGCGCGTTCGAGCAGCAATTATCAGGCGCAGAAGCGTTATCTGATACCGAATACGCTCAATGGCGCAAAAAAGGACCAGTTGGCAAGTTACATAACATCGTAGTTGATGTGCGTATTAGCCATCGGCTAATTTACTTATTCAAGGAGGTCCAGAGGGTAAGCGGTTTTCACTAAATCTTGTTCGTCTCATACTAATTTGGTATATCTAACAGGACGAAATTGATCGCGCCACCACCCTCAAACTCCGATCGAAGAAACCACTCAAGCTAATTGTCGATAACGACACGCGTTGGCTGTCACAACTCTACATGATCCGCAGGGCTCTACGGCTAAAAACCTCTATCGAACTCCTACTGATCAAGTACAAGGCGCAATGGGAGGACGAAAATCGGTCTAAAAAGACTGGCCGAGTGACACAAGCCAAATTGGCGAAAAAACCACGCATCCTCCGAGACGAGAATCAGCTAACGGATAAAGACTGGGAGGTTCTTTACCATTTAGAGGCTATTCTGACTGTTTTTGAGACCGTGGTAAAGACGCTTGAGGGTGATGGACACATCCGCAGGCGTAAGCAAGGCTGGACCGGCTCCTATGGCAATATCTGGGACGTGGTGCTTGGCTATGAGTTGCTGCTTAACACACTGGAAGAATATAAGCAGCTTGCTGCTAACTTTCCTGACCCGAGCACTTCCGCATCGGAATCAACCTTGCTTGGGATAAGCTGGATGAATATTATCGGCGGCTAGACGAAACGCCCATCTACTATACGGCAATAGCGCTCCATCCAGCTTATCGTTGGGACTGGTTTGATGAAACCTGGGCTCATAAGCCTAGTTGGGTTGAAAAGGCAAAAGAGATGGTTGCCGACGTCTGGCTGTCTGATTACGCTCATTTCGAGGTTAGATCCAGCAGCAGCAGAGGCGATGACGAGCCACCAGCAAAAAGACCTCGGCTTTTCAACCCCTTCGAGAAGAACAGCCGTCTGCCAAGCTCAACACCAACCTCCGCAGCAGCTATTGTTGGTGATGAGTACCAAGCGTGGCAGACGGATCGTGAGGCCAGCGACGGCGACGTTCGTGATCCAATTGGTTACTGGATCACTAAGCAAAGTAGATATCCTCGGTTATCCAGGATGGCCTTGGACTTCCTGACAATCCAACCGATGTCAGCCGAGTGTGAGAGGTTATTTTCAGCTGCTGGCAAGATGATCTCGGGGTTGCGAACTGACCTAGATGCTGAGATTATCGCCATTTGTCAGGTTTTACGCTCTTGGTACCGTGCTGGCCTTATCAAGGACCTGGATCCATTGCTTAAGTCACACGTTGAAAGTAAGCTGGATGCCGGTTGTGCGACTCTAAGCGACGACGAGCTGGCGCTTGCTGAGTCAAAATGGCTATTGGAGGGCGAGGACAGCGCCAGCGAGGTTGACGATTTATCACAGCAGCAACAGGCTGAAGAGTTAGTGTCAACCTCTGAAAGTGAGGCTGAATAGGCGCCGACAAGGTTGTGAATAGCCTCAAAATTCCACTTATAAATCCACTTATAAATCCACGTGTGTACATCCATTCCACTCCGGTCGAATATGTACTACATCCACTATGCGATTGCTAAAAAATCGTACATCCACTCTACTTGGTCCCAAAGTGGAGTGGATGTAATGGTTCCGACCCTTGGCTGAAACCTTGTTTGCCCGAATCCGGCCACGAGGCAAAACCACGATTCATCTCTTCAACCAATCGATAGATTTTTCTCTCTGGCAAGGGAGGTCTTTCAATGCGAATTATATGCGAGACAGTGCCGCCTGATGCAATGCGTCGGGCGTCAAGGGTACGGCCGCGTAAGGATTCATTGCAAGGCAACAACAAAATGTGACTACTGCGCACAAGAACATGTCTCCCGAGTATGTCCCAATAAGTCTGACAAGACTGACACCAGGGATGTCCCGTACATGGATTGCGATGCGAGTGATCTCAAGGAGACATTAGGTAGAAAGAAACTGGCGGCAGCATAAGGTTGAGACTGTAATGGTCAATAGAATACGGTATTCTGCGAGTCGAGTGCTTTTCAAGAAATAACTGAGAAATTTCGTATGGAAGGCGCTAGCTGCACGCCTTGGTGCCTATTGACAGAGCAACGCACGACATGCAAGTCGTACCAGCATAGATACGTCATTCCAGTTACTACTATATCATTGATAAGGCAGACAGTATTTGGTCGTAGCCTTCGCGGCGACTATTTCTCATCACATGGCCTCAGGGGCGGAGCTAGCTCATGTAGACCGAGACACCAGCACGGTAAGGCGAAGTCTTTCGCAGAATAATGCAACCAAAACTTTACCGAGAATAATGGGTAGTGATAACAATAGCACATCCTTCTCCTTCGGTATGATACCATATTTGACTGTAAACGGCCTTGTTTTTCTATCAGTAGACATTAGATGGCCCAAAAGGATACCCATCCAGTACCCACCTACTGCTAACACCCACCTACTGCTAAGCAAAAATAAAATTTCCCCATACAAAATCCAATTTTTCAACCTCGCGGGATAAAATCACCAAAAATAATAAAAATAAAATCGTTTCTGGAATTCAACTGAAAATTGAATTAATTTTCATATTGTCTCGGTCTTTTTACCTCGCGGCCTGTGCGTGTGCGTACAACGGGTAAGTCTTCCACCTCTGAATTTGAGCTTTCGTCTTCTTTAAATCCTGCCACCTCGATCATATCCTCAACGGCCCCTGCCTTCTCAATTGCTTGGATTGGCTGAGAAATACCTTTACCGGCTGCTAAAGCTTCGGCAAGTGTGATGAACTTCTTGTTAGGATTGGGTATAGCTCTTCTCTTCTTGCCTCTGCTCAACCGGCCAACTTCCTCCTCCAGACCCGCTATTCTTGCTGTTAGGGAAGCTATCTTGCACTCCTGAACTTCAAACCCTTTCGATATCACAGAATACCGCCTTCTGGTTGATGGGGTCTTATCTTTACCTAAATCTCTGACTTGACGGCTGGTCTTTGGTGTGTCATCGGAATTGAGTTGTACGTCTCTCAGACCGTCGGGTTCAGGAGTGGTTTCCTTCTTGTCTAGTTGGATTTCTGGATGCATGAGCGCTTTCCGTCGTGAAATTGGCCAATTTCCAGTCACTCTCCATCCAGCGAGTATATTCTTCTTGGTCATACCCACTTCCCTAGCTTTGGCATAAGCCCTGATGAAGTTGACCTTATCCACTGGTGCGGAATCAGTCAGAGTTGCCAACTTTTGGAGCTCCCTGCGATAAGCAGCCTTAGAAGCATTAAAAATACCATTGTCTAGTGGCTGGAGACCGTGGGAGCAATGAGACGGCAGGTAGCAGCAATGCACGTTGTTTAAAAAACAGGTAGCCATCCACTCATCCTGCTTCCAACTTAGCGAGATTTATAGTTCAGACTAGTGACATGCTTACAGATACGTGACTCCCATGGCCATCCAAGATGATAAGCCTAGCATCAGACTCATCTGCTGGCTGCGTTTGAGGCAGATAGACGTCCTTGAGCCACTCAATTGCGATGTGGTTGTCCGTCCAGCCGTTCTCAGAAGTGATGTTATACCAGTCGGCTATCTTCTTGAACTCCTCGATAAACCATTGCTGCTGAAGTTCCTTGCCTTTGAAAATGATACCCGGTTTCAGAAGACGGCCATCTGCAGTCACAGCTTCGATGAAGCTAGTCCAAGCACGGGACTGAGAGCCTTTAAGGAAGGCCTTCTTCTTGGGGTCGCTACTGCCAATAACCAAGGAGTCCAAGCCTAGAATTGGAATAGATTAGTAAGTCTTATGATCAAAGATAATAAATACGCACCAAATCCAGCCATAATACCGCCCTCATCAACATTAACTGTATTCTCAGGCTTGATCCAGTCATACTCCCTCTCGCGGATATCAAAGTACCAATTAACGGCCATTGGAGTGAAAGAATTGAACCTTGAGGCCTCCTGGAGTTTCCCTATCTTCGTCTTGATGGCTGGATTACGTTTCATGAATCTGGCTATCCAATGCACGCCGATGATGTTTTCCTGGTCTTGTTGCTTTAAGAGGGCAGTTACGGTGGCGCGAACTTGACTGTGAGAAGGAGCATAGCCCAGGGCCTCTTGTCGAAGTATCCAGGTGACTAGTCTGGCCTCCTGAGACTTGGATAGCAACTGGGCAGGCTGGGTGACTTCGAATTTAGACGGGAGGCCTTGTAATCGTGCAGAAAGAATTGTCTGAGGGATGCCATGTTTCTGGGCGGCTCGGTTCTGCGACAGGCCGTTATCTGTGATATCTAATATGGCTTCAATGACTTCACTCTCTGTATAAGACGTTCGAGGCATTTTGAGGCGATTGCTGAAGGTTGGTGTAGGTAAAATCTTTTATCAAGTTTTACAGAGGCTAACTCATGAATGAGCTATTTGCAGAAATTTTACATAGGTGATATGCAATCATACCGCCTCCGTAACGGAAAAAGTATAATCGTGATATGAAACAACGTGAAACTCTCAATAATACACAGCTTGTTTAATGTAAATAACTCCAATATTGGCCACATACGGTGTAAGTGAAATTACGCATTTTGTATGGGAGAATTTTATTTTTGCTTAGCAGTAGGTGGGTGTTAGCAGTAGGTGGGTACTAGATGGTAAAGGATAATATTTTCACTACTCCTCTTTCTCCCATCCAACCTGGCTTAGTCTCTGAAACCCATCCAAGAGCCGTTGAAAGATCCTTACGATGCGTGGAACGGTCGAGTTCCCAATCCGGACCTGCTCTGTCATCCATTCCCGTGACAACTGGTTAAATTTCCCATCCCACCTTTTCTTCCCCATCTCTTCTTGAATGACCAGCTTTCCGAGCACGCCATTTGCGACAGTCAGCAATGCCGCAACAGTACGACATACTATTTCTACTCCGTTGCCACCAGCACTGCCCTCATCTGTCAGTTGGCAGGTATGATCATCATCATCATATTCTCCATCATCGATGCGAGTAAAACGGCATACTTGGGCCGGAAAGCGACAGTGCGGGCATTGCCCCGTCTCACTCCCCTGGCCCCCCTCACCTGGCCGAATGCCTGACCACTTGCGTAGCAGTGTGGTGGCGGCCTTCGATTCCTTATGCAATGTACACGTCCCCATATCATGAAGATAGCAAGCTTCGTCCCAGTTGTACATCATACATACCTGGCAGCTAATGCCGCCCCTACGCCAGGCCCGGACACGAGCTCCTAGGGCAGAGTAGAAGGCACTATCTCCCCAAACCCCAGATGTGCGTTCTTCTTCGTCCTCCGCTGCGTCGAGAGCCTGTCGGAGGGTAGATGCTAGATCCTCGCCCGAGGCGCCTCGCTCTGGTACTGCTGCTTTCTTGCTGTCCGGGCGCTGTGGTTGTTGCTTTTGGTGTTGTCGGATAAGGATATAGCCCTCCCGACTCGGAATTCGCAACTCGGCTCGACGCTTGTCTACCTCCTTCTCGATCCATAAATCTTCTACTACTATATCGAGTTGACAGAAGATACGTAGCATTACCATGACGTCTTGACGGCCCCATGGCATCGGGGAGAGGAGCCAGCCATCTGTCCCCCAATTTTGGTTGAAACGGATGCGGCTACAGCCACGCCAATCCTCGATTTGGTCCCAGAAGGTGTCTGCATTGGTGTTATTATTGTCGCAATCACCAGTGGGGCCATCGCGAGAAATAATAGAGAATGCACACATGGCCGAGACGGCATTGACAACCACCTCCCGGAATTGGCATCGGCTCCCATCTCGGCGCGACCATGTTTTCGCCAGCCATGACCGACATGCATGGTCATCTCCTCCTCCCCACACCCGAGGACGCGGTTCCCAATCTGAGGCAGGTTCTGTTGCGTCCTGGCACGCCCACGCAGGGCAGCAAGACCGAGGAAGACAGCAGTCTCCGCACCAAGGGACCGGGCCGTATCCTTCTATCCCTTTTGCCTGAAGCTCTACCAACTCCTCCCCAAGACGGGCGCGGATAGAACGTGCCTGACGTGCTTCGACTCGGGGGCAGAATGCGAGAGGATGCTGATCGCAGGCTGGGTCTCGGTAGAGGAGGCAGAGCGCACATCGGACAGACCATCGCTCGAGTTGCTTCTGAACTTTCTCCTCGCTGATAAGGTCATCGCTTCGATCATCCTTCCAGTCGTCGCGCCAGCGCGTGGGGTCAGGGTATTCCCAGTTTCTTCTCTTCCCCCACAAGGATAGTTCTTGCTTCGACCAGGTTCCGATGGGCTTGGTAATTTAGATCTCGATGAAGACTGACACTGGTTCTCATTCAACACACGAGTGTGATGCCGATGAAGTAAGGAACCGTCTAGCTGTACTTGAACAGCATGGCGCGCTCGAGCCGACCGCGCGTCTAGAGAGGTGTGATGGCAGTCGCGTAGCCGGGCAGGCTCAGTATTGTGACGGGAGTGAGAACCTAGGCGGCGAAGAAGACGACTAAAGGGGGACTTGGGTGGGCGCGTAGTCCCTTCTTCTTCATCTAGAGGCAAGAGCTCATCAACCGTCTTCTGATACCAGACCGCAAGTTGGCGTATCATCTCGATGCCTTCGATGCCTTGGAATGTGAATCCTTCAAGAAGGAATTCTGCTGCCGTCTTATCATCGACGGCTGTAGTTGATCTTTCCGCATCACGGTTCTTGTAATATAGCCTCGCCACATCTTGGACGTGAAGCGCGAATCGTGTCGCACCATGAGCGTAGAGCCCGGTGATGGTATCGCGGAGTAGGTGCCGTCCAAACTGGCATGCCCACTCGGCTCGGTCGCTCTCGACCCAAGCACCACCCTCGCTAGGCCGTGTCCATTTGGCGCAGAGATGCTTCGGCAGATAGCAGCGGTGGCATGCCATGTTCGGCGCGCTTTTCCCCGCGTAGATGGCCTTCCCAAACCGAGTCTCTATGACCACGGCACCCCCATGTGTGCATTCGCGCAGTTCATGGAGAACGGCTTGGCCTCGACGGCCACTGGCGAGGCAGTAGCTACACTTCCATCTCCACCATTCGATTGTTACCAACCACCTCTTGATGATGATGGCGGCTTTTTTATCCAATTGGTGGGCGGAGAGGTTCGGTCCGCACACACCCACTCCGGTTGCTTCCTGGCGATGTAAACTTTCCCCAGGCGGACTACGGGGCAGACCGTCGAGTGGTGGCAGTCCGAGGCGATAGTTTTGCCGAACATAGAAGGCAACCGTCAAGGTCTCAAAGATGAAGAGAAGCCTCGGGATCCAGCTATCGTCATGGGAGATCTGATCCTCGAACCAGGTTCGAGCACTCTGTGCATGGGAGAGATCTACCCCGTCCTTGTCCGCTGCCAACTCGGCCAGGAGTTTCCCGAGGAACTGATCGTCGTATGCGCACAGAGCCGCAATGACCCTCTTCATGACCGGCTTCCGCTCACAGTGGCCGTCGGGGCCCGGCTTCGAGTCAAGCTCCTTCCTCAGCGCCGCCTTTTCCTGCTTAGAGCCTAGCTCACAGATGGCTTCGCTCAGACAAATGTCTTTACACGGAAACCATGTATACGTACACATGCAGCAGGAGCCTGGACCACGTGAGAACCTGGGGATGTCTAGGCTGTCTAGCCATCGGAGGATCGACTTCGCTTTGTCGCAGCCATGCCAGCGATCGCATTCCTTCAGTGTGTGACCCGGCTGCTGCTTCCCGTTCATGACAAAGCAAAACTCGCATCCAACCGATCCCCACCATGCCAAGGTTTGATATGCTTCATCGAGCCGATTCTGGAGCCTGGCATTGCTGAACTCGGTGCCGTCTGCACGTTGTTGGATGATGTCGATGATCAGTCGCTGCTGGTCGGTCGCGATTGTGCTCAAGCGTGTGTTGGTGGAGCTAAAGAGTAGTCCTTGAGACAGTGCTGCGGCCCGATCCACGCTGTTGCTGGCGCTGTCGCTGTCGCTGTCGCTGTCGCTGTCGTCGTAAAATAGGCATGTATCCGCAACGGACTCGGCGGTAGACAAGCTGTCTCGGTCATGGTCAAGTTTTCTCCTTTTTAATGATGGCGAGGTACGTTGTGAGTCTTCCTTGGGTCGTCGTCCTTGCGCGTCGCGCTTGCGGGATACGCGTCGACGCGTTCTATTGCGATTGTGTTGACCAGAAATTTCCACCATGTTGTCAACGATACCTGGATGGATTGACTGATTGAAGCTGATAATGTAAAGTTGACCAGAGGCAAAGAGATGTATAATTATACCAACGGCTGATAGGTCGGGTTGGGTGGCCAGTATGATTGGAATGGATATTTCGGGGAGAAGCCAAGTGGATGAAAAATCCGTCCTTCAAGACAACATGAGCGGAAGCACTGTGCTGTGTGCGATTTAAATGCCGGCTTCCTCTGCTTTCTTTTCTTTTTCCCCGCCCCTGAATCTACCCAGTAGGCTAGAGGACGCTACAGATAGCTTCGGGATTGGATAGGCTGGTAGGGTAGTAATCACAGGGCAAGGAACATGATTGCAATACCTCAACCTCCCCAGCCGCCTCAATCAGAATTAGCAGCACCCAGGGGCGAGGATTCTTGAGCTTGGGTTCTAATTCGCATCGAATGTATATAATAAAGAGGGGGTAACTAGTCCTGCCTCGAGACCTTATTTGGTGTTCGGATGCTTTTGACAAGCTCGTTCTACACAGGGAAAACTTGAACGCCCGAAATACCCGCTCAATCTGAATTGTGAGGTCATTTGAGCTCTTTTTTTTTTTTTTTTTTTTTTAAAAAAAAAAAAAAAAAAAAAGAGAGATCGAGGTACTTCTGCCTTTTTGCCGGATGATTTAACTTTTATCAACGGGCACTTTCACTGAAGGAGGGAGCAAGGGAAACGGGTCCACACCTCTGGGCATGGATGAAGCAACATGTCCGCATATTTCGTGGGCACAACGCTTGTGAGAGCTATGCACCGTCCGCAGTAAGTACTTCTGCCCATAGTCTACGTTGGAACCAACACTGCAACACGAAAGTACCTGGGAGAGAATTGCTTTTGTGTAGCCACGGAGAAACGCGCGCGACATTGCGACGGGCGGATACACGAACTCGTCGATGGAAGCTAGACGGAGGCGTGGGCGGCAGGCGCGTTCTGGGTGTGCCGCTTGGTGGTAGCGCTTGAACTGGTCCACACGCAATTTGAAAGTACCGTTGGCAAGTCTGAAGCACCATTCGACCTGGCGGCATCAATTTACTTCAGCGCGCCCCGTAGTGCATCACCACAGCTGGTAATACGCACCGAGCGCTTGACTGCCGCACTTGATTGGGGCCCATATCTAGGGAGTTGCCCCGCCGGAGCAGGCTACAACAGCATTCCGCCTAGAAGCCCAATTTTTTCGGTAGCTTTCTCATGCGGCATGTCATTCATCCAATAAACCCCCGTTCCTTTCTGTCTGCTTGCGCTGTATCCTGCTTTGCGCGATCTTCTCGAGCAGCTACTACTAAGCTTCACTCTAAAAATAATACCAGGGTCGGGTATCCCGGATTAACTGATCAAAGTAGTCTTATTGATTCACTGTAATGTTTCTACGAGGCAAGTCTAGAATTATTACATAAACGTGATGATATGCTAGGTGTTTGGTACGTCTCGCCTCATTCGATCAGGGGGACTGCGTTCAATCGAGTGTGGATCCTGAATCTCATGATTGTGTTGATCTAGGATGCTTCCGGCCCCTGACTAAGGTCAGGATATCGGTACATCAGAGGATCATGCAAATTGGGCCCTTATCTGCCACACGAGGAGTCAATCTAACACTATGTGTGTAAAAAGCTTTTGACTTTGGGCCTCCTGCTGCAATGGTGTTTATCTTCGGAATATCCAATAGACAACTAGCCGCCATCGCGTACGTCCAAGCCTCACACATCATCGATTCTCTAACAGGCACAGAAGGAAATCTCGGCAAGAAAAACGCCATTCGTGGACTACATTGAGCTTGAGCCATAGTTGAGTGGACATTTGAAGAGAAAAAGCTAGCAGAGGAGGAGGAATAAGTCTTCCAGTATGGGCAGACCTGTAGTAAGAGGCAAACGCCGGTGGTTTAGCTGTTTTGAGAAGCCGGATGTTTGCTAACCCTTGTCGATGGCAGGAGCTATGGTCCGCGTTGCGAGGGCGAATACAATAAGGCGGGGGGAAGTACAAGAGACATGTCTGCATAAGATGAGTCATAGGCACACCCCTTGTGAGGTACATGTACTGTCGACTACGGTACATCTGCCCGTACCATGCGATGGAGTTCTATCTCTGGAACACAGGGTACCCGGTGGTTGATTGCTTTTGCTGATGCATGGAGAAAATCGCATTGACGCGAACGCGTTATCTGCCGGTGTTGGTGGTTGGGCTACCCGGCGTGGTATGAACCCGTATTCGTGCACTGTGCATCCGATAAGCCTAAAAAGCACTTTAGTGCTGCCAGATCTAGTGGAATCTGTCACCATATTTCCCGCCAGCATTGCGGAACCATTCTGAGACCCGCCCACCTGAAGACGCCAGACCCTTTCCGGAACGACGATTGTGGAGGGGAGCAAAAGAGTCAGTGCTGCTGCTGATGTAGACCTCTCTGCCCTCGAGCTTGCTTTGATTCATGCCTGCGAGGAGTTTGAAGGGGAGATTTTGCAGCCACCGGGCCAGAGATGCACGTGAGTCTAGCCTGCAGACTAACAATTTAGAGGGGTAGCGACGATCTACGATCGGGCGGGTCTACGTTTAGAGGGGATGCCCAAGTGCTGAATGAAAGGCTGTATGAGCCGACTTTGATCAACATCACGGTTGAGGTGGAGCCACGTCATCAGCCAGCATCTTTCTGTCAAAGTGAGGCGGAGTGGCGCATCACATGCCATGGAGGAAGCAGCCAATCCGTCCCGTAGCCTTCTACTGCAACGTCGTTTTCCAACAGAAAGCATGTATTTTTGCGTGCTGGTATTTTGCCTAGGCAAGAACCTGCCTTAGACTTATGACTTCATCAATGCGTAATCTTCCTGCCGCAAGTCGATTACTCATATCGGGGTCTATGCCGGCTTGGTTTGTCCAAGCTGCAGCTTGGGTCAAGGCATCATCACGGTGACATCATCGTTCCTCCACGGGTCAATTAAGCAGTAAATAAGTCGTTGAGCTGTGAGAAAATGGAAAAAAAGGGATTTTACACCACACGATACGGTCATCGTAAACTTCACCATCTCAACTCAGTTCTTCAGTGTTGACATCGATTGATATAAGACAGGAAACAAATCCCGACAAAATTTTGCAATTTCGGCTTTCGCTGGCGCGACTATCGTGGGAAGGCGCCATGTATCACAGTCGAGAGCGGTTAAGGAGTTATTTAACCCGGACAGGCCCCCAATCAGGCGCAAACAAAGCGGGATCTTGGTTTCGGGGCTCATACCGGCTGCAACGATTCCTACCTGCCGTTGAACAGTTCAACATAAGGAAAGCAAAATGGAGCCTCCGGATCTCCCGGATTCGTGTAGGTTCCTTCTCGCCGCCATGCATCGGCGAGTAGATAAGAGAGAAGTGGCTTGGATGAGGAACGCCAACGATGCAAGGGTGAAGGCATTTCTTCATACTATAGAGTTGTATGCATCCTTGAAGTGGTCTAGACGCGAGTCGCTTTGTCCACCCGGTCCGAGCCCAATCCCGTCGAGACCGCAGTCGAGACCCGAGCGCTGTCTTTCTTCGAAACAATTGCAGATCAACGCAAAACAAAGCCTAACCCAATTACTTTACCCCGCAAGCTTAACTTTTTGCGCTTCCACTTCGCCGACGAAGGTTTGATCTTTTTGAACTTGGACTGTTATCATCCAGGTCATCAACGAATCTCCGGGAAATTATGGAACATTGAAGCCACAGCTGTTCTCCTCACCCTGTGCCACTTCCAATTTTAGCAGGCTTCCTGCATCTGTAGTCTTGGTTAACCCATGTCACCTCTAGGAAATGATTTTTTTGACCATTCATGGGGACGAGAAGCGCCTACTGGTGCTGTATGTCTTCTCAGATTGCCCGAATGATGCAACAAGGTGGCCTAGCAGGTTTTGTGCATGTGGCTCGATCGGTTGGTTGGTATATGAGGTGGCTGTTCGTCCTCAAGAGGCAGCAGGGGCCAAGCTGCAAGCCTTGCTTTCCACCCAACATGCGCCAACACTTTGGAAGTGTAAATATGCTCCATAGGGGCCTACTCCATGGGTCCTTTCGATTCTTTGGGATCTGATTTTAGTGCTACGGGACAAGGTAGCCGACCCAGCCCAGGTGCAAACTTACCCTGTTTTGCTTGACCGAAGCAAGCCAACCAATGGAATTTATGGAGAACACGAAGCATTGTAACAGTCTTAAACTCAAAAGACTACCAAGACACCGCCGCAAATACCCGCTCTTTCCGGTTAGGGTGTTGATAATGCATGCTGAAAGCCTTATTTTCCCACTCTAGTGAAGTGCATCTCATACGAAGGAAGTGGCACAACCTCGATCCAACTGGGCCATCCTTGGTCTATAAATTTCAGTAATACTGATACAGTCTCGGGTTTTATACATTAGATGATATTATACTAAAAACTCAAAGAGCCTTATTGCCTTGCCTTGGTATTGAAGAAATGGGATGTGCGTGCGGTGGAGAGGCCTAGGTTGCCCCGGACATCACCATGTGGGAGGCCCACCAAAGGGCAACACTTCATCTTGATGTCAACATGCATGACAGGTAGCCTAGACATTGAGTTCTCGGATACAGATCCTGATTTAATGTCCCATTTCGGTTTCGGCATCCCGCACATAATGTGGATATGCTTAGAAGCTTCGAATCTCGGGGTTGTGAGCCCACTTCTTGCGACCTGGCCTCTGAAATGGATAAACTTCAGTCTCCCTAGCCAGTCCTGCCATCATCCACGACCGTTATAAAGTTGAGACACAGCCCCTGGGGAATCTTTTCAGTCTACAGTTTAGTACGTACACCGCCCACTTTTAGTATTCATTTCCTCCTCTCGCAAAGATGGCTTACATCCACGGTAACCCAGAGACAATGACGAAGGCGAATTTGGAATACCTTGTTCATCACATCTTCTTGCCTACCAAACTTCCAGGCGGTGATGACAGTTCAGCCGAGAATGAGACGCTATTGATCGGCTTTGTGCTAGACTCATTGGTCCGTTTTCTGGGAGAAGGTACCTCCGAGGATGAAACCGCAATCAAACCTTGCGTGGCGATGATCAAAGGCCTGCAAATATCGAAAGGCGCCCAAGGATCCTTAAGCGCAAATGGCGCACAGGAGGTCTTACGACAGCTCTCTTCCGAAGGTAAGGCTTAAAACACATTCTTCCTCCATCTCATCGTTAACATATTGGTTCATAGCCCCCGTTGCATTGTTTCACGTCGCCGCTCAGAATGGTGGAGTCCTCGTTCACAAAACGATTACTTCGGTCATTTTCGAAATGTTCGAACTATCCCCCGCTAACAAGGCCGTCATGACCACGCAAGGCCGCCTAGTCCGCCAATTTCCAGCCAATGCGACGGAGATACCTTGCCCCGATTTCGAAGACGAAACATTTCAGTCAGTCTTCACCAAAACCCTTGAGAAGATGGGCCATCAAACCGTCCAGGAGACAAAGCATAAAGTCAGGAAGGCCAAACAAGAGCACGACGAAGACAGGGAGACGGTAGATCCGCGGATCGTCACCGATCTCCTGCCGAGCATGCTTCGTGGTGCCGGCAAACAAGTCAGCGTCCCCGGCATTTGCAAGAATACTCGTGAAGAGGTTCTGTGGAGTAACAGCAAGCTCCCATGGAGACGATCCCCAGTCTGGCTCCTTATTCGTGTTGGTCTGCAGCTGACCATGACCTGCCTTGCTCGCAAAGATAAGGATCTCTACAAGGAGTTCATGGCTTTCTTGATGGCACAAGTGCTTGATGTTGCTACCAAACGGGGTGCCGCAAGCGACGTTCTTCATACAATGTCGACCAAGGTCTCTCGAAGGCTCTACAAGCTCTACAAGCTGAAGCATCTTTGCGATGGCAAATGGCTGCAAAGTATTCAACAAATCGTGTCGGAGACTTCGAAGTGCCTGGCCAGGCGATGGGACCGAATCCGCAAGCGAGAGGAGAAGCCACTGGAACTAAATGACCTTCAGGAGTCCGATATGGAAGACAACACTTATTTCTCTCTCTCAAGCGTGGAAGACTTCCTCACTTCGATCCCAGAACGAGGGAAGCACATGGAATTTCCGAAATTTAACCCAATTCCTCGCGTTCGGCCCCTTGATGGCAATAATCTTCCCACTGTTACAGCCTGCGACGAGGAATATTTGCCTTTCCGACTGGCAATGATTGAATCTTGGGTTGCGACAAGTCTTGATACATGGCTCAAGTGCCATATCGGGGAAGAGAAGTCATGTGGAGATCTGAAGAGATTGATCCAGTCATATCATTCCGTGGCCAGTTGTTGGTATTCCAGCCGTCCTGAGGGTGCATCAAGAATGCTTCTCACTGTCGGGGAACTCTGGGCAGCAGCGGATAAAGCGGCCATCCATGCCCTTCCCATGCTGAGCGATTACGAGCCTGAGGTTCCAACTGAGGTGTGGCAAGCTCTCCTGCTCGCCTCCATGGCGGACATGGAAAGACTTCATCGCCTCGAAGCACATTTACTGAACCGTCAGCGCGTTGCCCGGTTAATGGGTAGGCCTTCCATCCTCCGATCCTACGGCCAGCGCCGCTCATTTCCAGTGGAGTATTTCTCTCGCTCGGTTGAGCATCAACAACTACCATGCAGTACCCACCTACCGGTAATACCCACCTACCGGTAAGCAAAAAGACTTTTTCCCCATACAAAATTCACATTTTCAACCTCATGGGAAAAACTTAACAAAAACTGTACAAATAAATTTATTTCCAGAATTCGAGTTAGAACTGAATGAATTTTAATATTTTCTCGGTCTTTTTACTTCGCGGCCGCTGCGGGTGCGTACGACGGGTAACTCTTCCGCCTCCGAATTTGAACTTCCATCCTCTTGCATCCCTCCCACCTCAATCACATTCTCAACAGCCCCTGTCTCTTCAATTGCCTGGATTGGCTCGGAAGTAGTTTCACCAGCCACTAGAGCCTCGGCTAATGTCATAAATTTCTTGTTGGGATTGGGTATCGCCTTCCTCTTCTTGCCTCTACTCAACCGGCTGACTTCCTCCTCCAGACTGGTGACTCTTGCGCTCAGCGAGGCTATCTGTGACTCCTGGGCTTCAAACCCTTTCGATATCACAGAATACCGTCTTCTGGTAGAAGGGCTCTTGTTTTTTCCCAGATCTCTGATATGACGGCTGGTCTTTGGCGTATTATCAGAGTCGCGTTGTCTGTCACTGAGGCCCTCTGATGCAGGCGTAGTTTCCTTCTTGTCTGGCTGAATCTCTGGATGTATGAGCGCTTTCCGTCGTGAAATTGGCCAATTCCCAGTCACTCTCCAGCCTGAGAGTATGTTTTTCTTAGTCATACCCGCTTCCCTGGCTTTGGCATAGGCCTTAATGAAGTTGACCTTATCCACCGGCGCAGAATCTGTCAGGCTTGCCAATTTTTGGAGTTCTTTGCGATATGCAGCTTTGGAGGCATTAAAAACGCCATTATCTAGCGGTTGTAGGCCATGAGAGCAATGAGCCGGCAGGTAACAGCAATATACGTTGTTCAAGAAGCAGGTAGCCATCCACTCATCCTGAGTTTTAGGTCAGCGGCATTTATGATTCAGACCAGGTAGATACTCGCAGATACATGACTTCCATGGCCATCTAATATAATAAGTCTGGCATCAGAATCATCTGCCGGCTGGGTTTGAGGTAGATAGACCTCTTTGAGCCACTCAACTGCGATGTGGTTGTCTGTCCAGCCATTTTCAGAAGTGATATAATACCAGTCGGCTATCTTCTTGAACTCGTTGATAAACCACTGCTGCTGAAGTTCCTTGCCTTTGAAAATAATCCCTGGTTTCAGAAGACGGCCATCTGCAGTGACGGCTTCGATAAAGCTAGTCCAAGCGCGGGACTGAGAGCCTTGAAGGAAGGCCTTCCTCTTGGGATTGCTACTGCCAATAACCAAGGAATCCAAGCCTGTATTGGGAACGTATTAGTGAGTTTTATGATAAAAACAATAAATACTCACCAAATCCAGCCATGATACCGCCCTCATCAACATTAACTGTGTTCTCAGGCTTGATCCAGCCATACTCGCTTTCCCGGATATCAAAGTACCAATTGACGGCCATTGGAGTAAAAGAATTGAATCTCGAGGCCTCCTGACGTTTCCCTATCTTCGTCTTTATGGTCGAATGTCGTTTCATGAACCTGGCTACCCAGTGTACACCGATAGGCCTTTCCCAGCCTTGTTGTCTCAAGAGGGCCGCGACGGTGGCGCGAACATGACTGTGGGAAGGAGCATAGCCCAAGGCCTCTTGTCGAAGTATCCAGGTAACTAATCTGGACTCCTGAGACTTGGATAACAGCTGGGCAGGCTGGGTGACCTCAGACTTTGACGGCAGGCCTCTTAATCGGTCTGAGAGAGTCGTCTGGGGGATGTCATGCTTCTGGGCGGCTTGGTTCTGGGAGAGGCCGTTATCTGTGACATCCAGTAAGGCTTCAACAACGCCATTCTCTGTATAAGACATTCGGGGCATTTTCGAGGTGATTACGGAAGGTTAGTACAGATAAAAATTCGATGAAACTTGGCGGAAGCCGATTCTTGAACGAGGCGTTTTTAGAAATTATACATTAGGCCCGTGCGGCCAAACCGCTTCTGTAACGTAAAAAGTAATATCATAATATGAAACAGCATAAAACTCTTAATAAGACACAGCTTGTTTCATGTAAATAACTTCAATTTTGGCCAAGCACTGTGCAAGTGAAGTTGGGCATTTTGTATGAGGAAATTTTATTTTGCTTACCGGTAAGTGGGTATTACCGGTAGGTGGGTACTGCATGGTAAAGGCTGAGATTGAAGACATGGCCTCGGCTCAAAGGCAAGCCAAGATCGAGGAGATGCGACGACTCAAAGAGGAGTATGAGACCTTGATGCAAAAATTCAATGATGGAAAATGCGATGGATACTCCCAAGAGGAGTACGGTATCACGGTCTGGTACCACTCTCACTTCTGTGTTCGTCACGGATACTTACACAGGGCAAACAACCTCCGGATCCAAGAACATGAATGGCCCTTGCCTGAAAACACCCTCGAAGCTCAAGCGACGGTCTTTGAGCTTGCTGTTCCTCCAGTATTTTCGGAGTGGCGAGATATAACGCTGTATCTCATCAACGACGTGCTCCTGAGCAAACCTTCCAGTGTCTATCATCCCGATCCGTCTTACTCGCTGCGTGAGTACCAGCCGCTCGACAAGTTCTTCAGAACCGGGAGAAGTTACCGGGTTCACCTAGTTTCCGAAGCAAAGCCCAATGTTGTTACTCATCGAAGAGACAAGTCGATCCAATATTGCACCGAATCCGATGTCTGCGTCAACAATGGGCTTCGTTATCAGTACTACGATGGATATCAGGGCTGTTTCCTTGAGAAACTCTTGCCAACAGAAGGACTGTCGAATCTCTGCACATTCGATTTGCCGAAGCGTGCTCAAGATTTGAAGCGTTTCCTTGTTCGCACCTGGCTCAAGCCAGAAGGAGAGACGCCCAACGAGGTGATAGCAAGCCAGTCAGACTGCCCGGAACACTTGTCTTTATGTGAATACAAGGTGCTGGCTGAGTTGCCGTATGGTTACAACATCCAGTGGACGAGCATCTTGACTCAGCTTGCCATGCCGAAGATCGATTTCAACAAGACGGAGACAGCCACGTTCTTGCTTCAAATGAGCCTACAAGCCGGCCCGAGGTCTTCGACAAGCACAAGATGCACACACACGCGACTGAATGACCGGGAGTTTGGACGTCAGATGCTTGAAAATCTGACCAAGGGCGTCTCGCATATCCAAGAGAACTGGGAGTCCTATACCGCCCTGTGCTCCTATACGTTTTTGGCTTCACGTCTTCTGTCACAGGTTGCGAGCGAATTGTCCCATGCTTTCCTTGGCCTCCTTGAGAAGTGCCGCAAAGTCTCCTATCGGTGGTTGATGACAGTACTCGGGAGAGTGCAAGAGACTACCAACGAGACTCAGCGAAGGGAATTTTTGGAGACAGCACTAAATATTGCGCTAATATGTGGAGACTCTTTTAATGTTTATGATGGCTTCTTACGAAAGATTTTGGCGGACTCAGAGCAGGCATCGATGTTGGTTGAATGCTCGATCATCATCTACAACAATGCTAGTTTGAAGAGCGAGACCGAGACTACTCTTCGAGACATCTTGTTCGATAGGTGGAAGCACACCATGTACCGAGTTCGTGCAATCTTGGTTGGCCAGAACGTTCTGGTCAATTCGTGTCTCGACCTTGCCATTAAGCGATGTTGGCCGGCATTTCAACCCATCGCATTTTGGACGCTGGCTGCCGAGACTTGTTATTGGTTCGAGACGACGAGCCGCGGGCATCTTCAAGTGCACCTCAACATCCTGACGGGAGAGTTGCTGGTCAATGGCCTTCCCCTCTCTCGTCTTCCAAAGGAGTATGAAAGGCATGATGACTATGAGAGATTGTTCAGGGGTCTCATCCTAAATGTTACGCCGAGCAACTTGCCAGGCATGCGCTTCTGCACCACGCAGCGCTTCCAAGATCATACTGTTCACTTTGGAATACAGGACCAAGACCTGCTCGTTCGTCTGGAGGAAAATGGATCCTACCTGGATCTTATTCCGTCGCGAAATTTTCAGGGGATGCTGCCACACTCCTTTGTCAACGATTACGCTCATTGGTATCATAATAAGACAGGTATCATTCAATTACACTCGCTAGAGGACCCTTGGACTGCGAACCCAGATGATTGGCGCCTTGCCCGACAGGACGGAGGTTGGAACCTGAGTCAAGGTGGTAGGACATTCCTCTTCGCCCCGTCTAGTAGCATGGCCCAGCGTATTGCAGGAATCCTATCCCCCCTCGAGGCTCAGCTTGGTCTTCACATGCTGTACGATGCGCAAGAGCGCGCTCTGGAAGTCCGAGTGCCCGGCTTGCAGCTTGAGTTTTTGCTGAGGGCCGGAGAGTCGACTCTTCAATCCAGGCAATTTCGGGACATGCACATCGACCTAGACCAGTCAGTCGGAACACTTGTGGGCTTCCAGAGCAAGCTTGTCCTACGCAGTGATCAGAATCCGCCAACTAGGATGTTGATTATGCCAGAAGGAGATATCCAATTCCAAAGATTCAGCGACCATGTGACTGTCAATGCCGCCTACGGAACCGCTCATCGTGTGCAAGCCTACCGGATCGACGATCTCCTTGGCCGCCTCATCGCCGATACAAAGCTCGAAAGCAAGCTCTACCTCGCCTACATTCACGCCCTCACCTCATCTTGTCTTCCAGATCCTTTTCTTAGACGAACAGGAACGGAGGAGGCTCTTCATATCTTAGGCTCCGCATCAGTCCGAGCACCCTGCCCTCTATCCCGGACCGCTCATGATAGGTTGAACCTGATCGCTGCTCTCGCCCCAAGTCGCGCTTTCTACCCAGCCTACGAGAGAGTGATGCAAAAGGTTGATTGGTCCTCTAAGTTGAGCTTTCTAGCGCAAGACGATCGTCTCTACACAGTTACCAAGGAGATTCTGGGCCGATCTGGTGAAATTGGATTCCTATACCCCCACCATAGCATCAAGCTAAGCGAACTTAATCATGCCACGATCGGCCTCGTCGAACGGGCCATCCTCAGAAATTCTCGCCAATGCGTGTCGGGCTTCGGGGCCGAGGGCTTCACCGTTCAACACGATGTCACATATCAGCCAAGAGAGCGGGGTAATTCAGATCGAGCAGTGCGTGCCACAGAAATGGCATTCCGGGCCTATAACAAACGTCCAACTTTCTCCGAACCTGTTGCTGCAGGGTTTACCCACCATTTGTACACCCTCCTTAGCCATGAGACGACAACATCCTACAGGACAGTTCCTCCAAGAGAGGACATGCTGTACGACTCGAAGTGGCTCAAGAATCCAAAGACTTTTCTCTCGTCCTACTGGTGTCAGCTGCATCACGCATTTCAGGGCGATCAGCCTTGGCTCAATAAGTTCGAGCTGATGGTTTGGATAGCGACGGTTGCGTACTCTGCCAAATCTGACAAGCAGGTCACACAGGCACTCCTCATTCTTGCCCTGTCCGCGCCAGTATCCGCTATTCCCTTGCCCTCCAAAGGCCGGTACAATCTATCACACGGCTGCGAAATGAAAACAGCCGAGCTTGAGGCCATTGCCGGAGAAGCTGCTCTCCGCTACGAGCAAACTCCAGCGGCACGTCTGGGACCGCGCTCAGACGAGTCAAGCCAACAGACCTTGAACCGACGTCATGGAGAATTCCAATGTGAGAAAAAGAAAGCAGTCGAACTTTTCAAGGGCGAGCTTGCTCGGCAGTGGCCTTGTGATTGCCCCCGAGCACCTTCGGACAGACATGTCACTGCGTACATCGATGTGTCAAAGGCAATGGGATTTGTAGGGAAAAAATGGACGAATTGGTATGACAACCGAGAGTTCATGGCCTATCTTTCGAAGTTCGTCAAGGGTTTGGGAGAGATACCTGTGGAGGGTATCATCACCGAGCCTCCTTTTGCGTTGCCAGACATTCAACCAAGGAGTCAGTCACAAGGATTCGTCTCAATCGATGATCTCTTCCGTCACGTCCCTCCATCTCCAACGCCAGTTCCAGGTTCCTTGCTCGAAGGCCTTCTTCAAGCAACATCAACCAATCCAGGTGCAACCGCAAGGCTGCCTGATGTTCTCGACTTTTTGGATCGCAAGACCAAGTTGGACTATGAGCACCATTACTTGCGAGAGCTGCGGCAAAGCCTTGCTAGTCTGAAAGGTCATGCTGGCCATGAGTTGAGCGGAGATCGAGCCTCAACGCGTGCGGTTCTATTTCAAGAACATCTGGAGCAATGGGAGAGGCGTGTCAAGTCGATATATGAGTCGTTGTTGGACGCCGTGAATCAGAATCTGAAAGACCTACCGGAAGCTATACAACGTATAGTTGGAGACACAGGTTTTAGACCTCGAATTTCACCCATCTTCTTCCTGCAGCAACTAAGAAACTCACGATGGTCTCAGCTCTCAAGTGCTTGGCAGGATGCTATCGCCGAATACGGACTGGCGATTACTGCCCTTCAACAAGCTAAGCGTTTGATACGATTCCAGAATGACCCCGTGGATCTGCTTCGCGAACTTGAGGGCGCTGGCCACAAAGGGTGGAACCCTCACGAACATTCAGAATGGTTGCTGCTAGAATGTGAGAGTGAGATCATGATCCGGGAGGTGCAGCAGCAGATTGCCCAACAGATGATACAGCCGCCAGACAATGAGAACTCCGTGATGCAGTTGAATATGGGAGAGGGAAAGTCTTCTGTCATCGTTCCCATCGTTGCAACGGCTCTTGGGGATGGCTCAAAACGGGTTCGGGTCATCGTGGCCAAGCCGCAGGCTAAGCAACTGTACCAGATGTTGACCTCCAAGTTGGCTGGTGTGCTTGATCGCCCAGTCTACCAGTTGCCATTCTCTAGGGATATTCGCATGAACGAATTTCGAGCAGAGGCTATTCACCAACTTACAACCAAGTGCATGCAAGAGGGAGGCGTCCTACTCGTTCAACCGGAGCACCTACTGTCTTTTCAGTTGATGGAACTGGAATGCCAACTCGACAACAAAAATAGGGTTGCCGAGAAGATGATGGAGGTCCGGAAATTCTTCGACGCCTCGTCCAGAGACGTGGTGGATGAGAGTGACGAGAACTTTAGCGTCAAGTTCGAGCTAATCTACACTGTTGGACAACAGCGACCAATCGACCATAGCCCGGACCGGTGGAAAGTCATACAAGAAATTCTCGGCTTGGTTGCACGGTTCTCTGCCGAAGTGAAGCGAGACTTCTCGCAATCTCTGGATTTTGACGATCGACACCGTGGCCGAGTTCCCAAGGTTCGGATTCTTCGTCCTGATGCAGAGACGGCAATTTTCAACCGCGTGGCAAGTTTCATATGTGAGACTGGAATGGATGGTTTCCCTATCGCACACCAGCATCCGACCATCAGGAACGCAGTTCGTCGCTACATTACTCAGTGGGACTTGTCAAGTGAGGAGATCGAGACTGTCGAGAAGAGCCCTTTCTGGCACGAGAGCACCATCAACCACATGTTGCTTCTTCGAGGACTCTTTGCGGCTGGGATACTTGCTTTTGCATTTGTCCAGAAACGGTGGAGGGTCAACTATGGTCTCGATCCAAACAGGGAGACAAAGACCAAGCTTGCGGTACCCTTCAGGGCCAAGGATAACCCGACGCCCCGATCAGAGTTCAGTCATCCTGACGTCGTGATCGTTCTTACCTGTCTGAGCTACTATTATGGTGGGCTGGACGATGAGGCTCTCTTTGCTGCATTTGACCTACTCGTTCGATCAGACAATGCAGATCTGGAATACCAGGAGTGGGCTAAGACCGCCCCAACAATACCTGTGGCCTTCAGACACCTCCAAGGGGTAAACCTCAAGGACCGCGTCCAGTGCATATCTGAGATCTTCCCTCACATCCGTTATTCCAAGGCAGCCATCGACTACTATCTCTGCCGAATGGTCTTTGCGAAGGAGTCCAGAGAGTTCCCTCACAAATTGTCTGCCTCGGGCTGGGATCTGGGCAAGAAGAAGCTGAATCCGACAACAGGTTTTAGCGGCACCAATGATTCTCGGTACGTGCTTCCATTGGATATGAAGCAGCTTGACCTTCCTGAGCAGAATCACACCAACGCATTGGTGCTTGAGTATCTACTACGGCCGGAAAACGCCATTGCACTGATGCGACCCGAGATGAAAGGGGCGGCACTCGACAGCAAGTCTCTCCTAGACATGGTCACAAACATGGACTCAAATACCCGCGTTATCCTTGATGTTGGTGCCCAAGTCATCGAGTTCACCAACTTGGAGTTCTCCAAAGAATGGCTCAAGTGCTACGAAGGTGATGAGCACACACAGGCTGTCATCTTTTTCAACGACTCGGATGAGATCGTGGTACTCGATCGATCAGGAAAGGTTGAAGAACTTCAGACCTCGCCTTTTGCGGATCAGATGGATCAGTGTCTCGTCTTCCTCGACGAAGCCCATACCAGAGGCACAGATCTGAGACTTCCCGCCAAATACCAAGCTGCGGTTACCTTGGGTGCGAACTTGACGAAGGATAGACTGGTACAAGGTATGTTTTGTCCAGCTCACCAAGCTAGAGTATTGTTTTCAGTTTCTAAAGTTTCTCGCAGCATGCATGAGGATGCGAAAGCTTGGAAAAGGGCAGACTGTAGTATTCTGCATTCCAAGAGAGATTGAACAAAAGATTCTCCTGCTAATAGGCCAGGAATCGTCAAGGTCTCATAACATTACAGTATCCGATGTTCTCTGTTGGGCCATCACCGAAACCTGCCATAACATGAGGCGAGAAGTGCCATTATGGCTCACTCAAGGTATTCGTTTCTGTCACCAACGGAGGTTGTGGGATGAGATGGAGGCTCGCAGTGACTGGGAAGGCATATTTGAGTGCGCTGGACAATTCAAGGAGGATGAGGCGCAGCCTCTTGACAAACGGTATCATCCACAGCAAGCCCACCCTGGCATTTCTTCAGTTCTCGACCGCATTGAGCCCCAGGCCGCGACGGAGTTTCAGAAACATTGCCAAAAATTCGGCCTGACAGAACTGCGTACCTCGTCACTACAGGAGGAACAGGAGCGAGAACTCTCGCCCGAGACCGAACACGAACAACAAGTGGAGAGACCGCCCCCAGCAGAGCCGGAGATACACCATTTACATGACGACCTGCGCAACTTCGTCCAAAATGGCGTGTTTCCACCATCCTCGAGCGCATTCAAGCCCGCCTTTATGGCTCTCGAACACACTTCGGCGGCAAAGAATTTCGACGTGAGCGAGTTCCGGAACAACGTCTGGGTGACACTGGACTTCTCAAGGACTGTCAAGGGATCCTTCGGATCAAACAACTACGCGGACTTGTTTCAGCGATCCGTGCAATGGATATTGACAAGCAAGGGAGAGATTGCTAATAACCGCCTTCTGGTTATCAGTCCGTACGAGGCACATAATCTTCTACCGGATATCGAGACGTCTCGGCATGTCACCCTGCGGCTCTACTCCCCTTGGGTGAATCTTGGGTTTGGGTCACTTGATCATCTCAACCTCTACACTATTCCCCAAACAAGAAACTGTGACACCATCCCGCGGGGCCTTATCGCCCAACTCAATGTGTTTGCTGGGCAACTTTATCTGTCGTCTTACAGCGACTATGTCGAACTGTGTGTCTCTCTAGGTCTTGCGTGGAAGGCTGCCGATGAATCCATCACTCTTGGGCCGGATGGATTCATTCCACTAGACTCGACAGCGGGCAGCTCCAACAAGTCGGGGCTCTCTAAAAGTCCTGTCAGTTTCTTGAAGGTCCTCATGGCGAAAATACGACAGGAGTGCGAGCTGATCGGGAGGACGCACATGGGGAGGATCCTAGAGGGAGTACGGCTGCGCGAGGAAGAATGGGTAGAGATTTAGAAACAGGATGATTCAACGTGTCATGCATTTGAGGCAACACTGCGTCAAGTCTGGCGCATAAGGAGTACTTCCAAGGTGGTTGGGTCTCGTAATGGGTGTACCTGTAGAATGGCTGGAGGCGCTCTCTAGGCCTGCTTATTTATATACAATCAAATCGTTAGACTTGCCCACCTCTTCCAGACTTGTTGCTGAGAGTAGCAGTGCCATAACGCGATCACGAAGGGTATCGAGGGCCTTGCAAGCAATGGCAGTGATCTGGACCGGTAGAGACTGTGGGACTGTCGGAGCAACAGCTGGGTCATTAAATATGCCGATGAGCGCAGATAATACGTTTGTCGAGTAAAGGTGCATAAAGTCGCCGTCGTCAGAGGTATACAACACCTTGGACTAGACATATCTGTTAGCAAGGAATCAAACAGCGCGGGCCAGGGTCGGGAATCCACATACGTTCACGCCAGACACCTGCTTTGTCCATGCCGGCCCCAAGGTCCTCCACTGTTGCTAGGCGAGGGCAATCAGGAGCGCCACCAGGTAAGGTTCGTGCAGCGGCTCCCTAGATGCAAGCCTCTGCATATTGATTTCGGCCGAAGATGCGCTGGGTCGATGGGATCGGATGCCATTGTACGATTGAATAATCTTCATCTCCCGCATCCAAACAATGTGCCCATGGTCGATATGCGCAACGACGGGGGGAACAGGACCAACATTATCGCCTTCACACTCGTCCCGAAGGCAAAAGTATGAGCAGGGGAGCAAAATACTGCGATAGTCTCCGAGGCAGAAATAGAGATCGGAACTGTGCAAGGGAGAGTCAGGCAAGGATGCAAAGAATACAAAAGCGCCGGGCAGCTTACAACGTCTGTAAGGGACCGTCCAACCCCCCATAAGAAAACGCACTGCATCTTCCCGGTCACGATATTTGCCACCCATGAAGTGGCTTTCGAGCGTTTCTCGGCGACTAGTATCGCTATGATATTCGAGCTTCATGATCGACGGAGGCGCAGGGCAAGGTCTACTAAAAGTGCATCGCAATAGCTCAAGTTGCAGCTTCGTCCAAAACAGAGGTTCGACGACGATTCGTGATCTAGGGTGGCGGCGAGCTCTGATGGATGGACAGGGCCTCTAGACCAGAGGTTGTTCTCGAAGTGGCTCCGGGGCCGGATCGTTGAGATGGCGGTGCCTCCATTGCGGGAAGAGGTGTGGGAGCCTGTCATGATCGTGGTGTTGGCAGGAGTCGGTGTCGTCAAGGAGTGAAGAGGAAGGAGGAAATGGCGGATGTGACGAGACACGCGCTAGTCACACAAGGTTATGTCAGCCCCTGTGGGGCAACTGATACACTCACGATTACGATAGCGTCGCAGCCGCCGAGTAGAGGTATCCAAATGCACCGTGGAATGCGATCAAGGAGAGAGTGAAAGATCGGCTGGCACTCCTCCCATGGGACGGCGGGGTTCAGACACAGACGGACAGGCTGATGGAGGCGGTCCTCGGCGCAATCCACGCCCTGGTCCCGCGAGCGAAGCCATCGCCATACGCAAAGAGATGGTGGACAACTGACCTTACTCGACTCCGGAAAACCTACACGTACTGGAGAAACCTGGCGAGGGCGCAGCGGCGGGCAGGCCATAGACAGGACAACCTAGAGAGCCGGGCAAAGGTAGCATCCAAAGAGTACCACGACAGTATCAGAAGACAGAAGAAGGCCCACTGGGACGACTTCCTCGCAGACGGCACCAATATCTGGCAAGCAGCCAAATACCTCAAACCCGGTGGCGACATGGTCGGCGACAAAATCCCCCGGCTGAAAAGGGCGGACGGGACGACAACGCAGGACAAGGCGGAACAGGCAGAAGAACTGCTGACGGCATTCTTCCCGCCGCTGCCAGCAACCATCGAAGACGAAGGTCCACGACCGCGGCGGAGAGAAGTGGCCATGCCAGACTTTACGTTGGAGGAGGTGGAGGAGAAAGTCATGGCAGCCAAGGCGTGGAAAGCACCCGGAGAAGACGGTGTGCCGGCGATGGTGTGGAAGCAACTGTGGCCGGTGGTCAAGGAACGCGTGATGCATCTGTTCCGCACCTCACTGGATGAAGGACAGCTACCAGACCAGTGGAGAAGCGCAAAGATCATCCCGCTCAAGAAGCCGGACAAGGCCGACTACGCACTCGCAAAGGCATGGAGACCAATCTCGCTGTTGTCGACGCTGGGAAAGATCCTCGAGGCGGTAGTGGCGGACAGGATCTCATACGCCGCCGAGACGTTCGGGCTCCTGCCCACAAACCACTTTGGGGCAAGGAAGCGGCGGTCGGCAGAGCAGGCCTTGCTGCTCTTCCAAGAACATGTGTACAAAGCGTGGCGGAACCGCAGGGTGGTCAGCCTAGTCAGCTTCGACATCAAGGGCGCGTACAACGGCGTGTTCAAGGACAGACTGCTACAGAGGTTGAAAGCAAGAGGCATCCCCGAGAAGCTGGTGCAATGGATAAGCGCGTTCTGCTCCAATCGTACGGCCAGCATCGTGGTGAACGACTACACGTCAGAGCAACGGGACCTGCCGCAAGCCGGCCTTCCCCAAGGATCGCCGCTTTCGCCTGTGCTTTTCCTGTTCTTCAACGCAGACCTTGTGCAAAGTAAGATTGACTCGAAAGGTGGATCGATAGCCTTTGTCGACGACTACTCAGCCTGGGTCACGGGGCCGACGGCGGAGGCGAACAGGGACAGCATACAGGCCATCATCGACCGGGCACTGGTGTGGGGGAAACGCAGTGGAGCGACGTTTGAGCATGACAAGACAGCAATTGTCCACTTCACGCGCGTAGCTGAACGCACCAGCGAGGCGCCGTTTACGATCAATGGAGAGGAAGTCAAGCCGAAGGCGAAGGCCAAACTCTTAGGGGTAATCATGGACACGGGGCTCAGGTTCAAGGAACACATGGCCAAGGCCGCCACTAAAGGTCTCTCGGCAGCCATGTGTCTAAGAAGACTCAGGATGCTGCCACCACAAGCTGCCAGACAACTCTTCGTCGCAACCGTTGCCCCAGCCATGGACTACGCGTCTGTCGTATGGGCGCATGCGCGCGGCGAAAGGGAATTGAAAGAGTTCAACAGGGCACAGAAAATAGGAGCGCGGGCCATCACGGGAGCCTTCCAGACGGTGGCGAGGGCAGTAGCTGAAGCGGAAGCCAACCTCCAAACAGTACACGAGCGACATGCTCTGGCTGGAATGAAGTTGTACATCAATATGCACACGCTGCCAAAGAAGCACCCGCTAGCGACACTCAAAGTATCAGTGAGTCGAAGGTACATCTCGCCGATGAAGAGACTGGCGCTTGCCCTCGGCGAGAGCGGAATCGGGCGGATGGAAACAATTGAAGCCTATGCAGCACCGCCGTGGCACGCCCGCGTGTCGTTGGTGTGCGAGGTAGAGCGGAAGGTGGCGATAGCGGCAGCCAATAGTGCCGAAGACATCACCATCACGACTAGCGCTTCGGACAAAGGAGGAATGGTGGGCATGGGAGGCATCATCAGCCACAGAGCAGCAGGGCAAGCGAACAGAGTCGTGGCCAGGTACTCGGTCACCCTCGGCTCTCGAGACGACCAGAACCAGGGATGGACATCGAACGAACGGGAATCGAATCGATAGATTCATTCGATGCCAAGTCTTACGAATGTCGAATCGAATTTCTTGGCATTCGATTCGATGTCGAATCTGCGGCGTGCCCATTCGATTCGCATCGAATCGAATGTGACATGTCCTGTTCGATGTTCGAATACATCGATTCGAATGTGGGGCATCCTATTCGACATTCGAACCGTACAGGTCACCATATGATTCGACATCGAATCGATCGCCCCCACCCGTTCGATCGAAAATCGATCGATTCGGTCGAACAGAGAGACGCGATGTGCGAATCATGACCAAGGGGTGGATTCAGCGCGATTCGCAGACGCGTTAAGAGGCCCCTGGCACTCTCCTCGACGCGAGAAGTGCAACGCGATCAACACTGACAACAATTCATCTTAATGCTAAGATGTGTTAGCAAGTACATAACATGACCCTAAAAGCCCATAGCATACTAGGTACCCTGCAACTACAGCAATCATCCCTGTCACGACCCTGTCTAACCGCCCCCCAGCCCGGAACGGATTAACGCGCCGGCCACCGCGAATTGCCAACAGGTTTACCAGTTGGGAATGACTCCCATGGTCACAATCCCGACAAACAACCCACCAGCAGGTGCTTTACAGGAATGTAACGGACAACCCAATTTAATCTTGTAATAAAACACTGAGTCGGTTTCTATGAGGAATATATATTTGTCGCGTGGGGGGTTGAAGTATGAGTTATTGTTGCTGTAAAATACAACCTCCCAAGTTAGGAGGTACCAAGGTCGTCATATAAAGTAGGTGGGGCTTACAGTAGTTTTTAACGCAGGAGTATAGGGTATGTTTGTCCCAGTAACAGGCCGCTATACAGAGAGGGGGATCACCAAAAACACGCCGCTTTTTCTGCAGAATAATAGGAAGGAAGCAAAAAGAAAAGAAAAGGAAACCAAAAAAAAACTGTCTCCGTATTTCTCTCTACTAAAAAGTTTTTACTGATGCCAGCTTTGGCATGATCAGATGAATATGTCCGGCTCGAAGTTTTCACGCATTGGCGAGTATGGGATTCATGATCTTCCTGCCCCCCTCTTTAACTTTTTGGTTGTCTCGGGGACCTGCGCCTAAAGCCAGCTTTGCCTGTGAACCGATGTACCAGCGACTTCACAGGTGCATCCACTTAGAGCCTCAACTTCAAGTCCCCACCGTTCCGCCCCCTCACGTGAACGGTTTACGAAAATCTCAAGAATCCATTCTGAGTTGACGCCAGATTGGAATGAGCACAAATGCAAAGCCGGTATGGGGACTCGGCTGAGGAACGGGATGGCTTTTTTTCAAGGTTGGCCCGTAGTGATGCGTCTGTGCTTGTGGCATGAGCCAATAGGAGCCTCTGACGCAAGTGGAACAGGGAATATATGGAATCTTACCCCGCCGTCTGTGGACCTAATCAACGAGACCCCGATTTGGCTGGTTGCCAAGTACTGAGAGCTTGGTGGAGCGGCACTTGGGAGAATCTCCGTACACCAATGGTCGGAACAAAGTTTGGCTTCTTACATACAATGGCGGCTTCACGCGCGACTCTCTCGCCTTGGGCGCGCCAGGTCGTCGTTCGCGCTGCTCGCGAATGCATCATTAATCGCACAAGACTTTGCATGTTTAGCGGCAGTGGAGATGTCGCGAATTTCGCGTTGACGACAAAATGGGCGTGATATACGCGTGTTATTGGCCTCAATGCCTGTCCAGTCAGTGATGGATGGATGGATTTAAGTTGAGCCTCAGTGCAGTCTCAATGGCTTCCAACAACCTCGACCCACGCGACCCATCTGTCCGACTAGCTAAACTAACTGCATCATGATGTCCTCCGAACCATTCTCTTTGAGCCCTTCGTCCTGGAATCAACCAGGTGTGATGGAGCGCGATGAATTCT